TTATTGGAAAGAAATCTTCTCAAATGAAATAAAATCTAAAAAGGCAAAAGCAAAGACAGAAACTATACGTGAAATTATTTTTCAAGAGCTGAGAGAAGCAACGATTTCTTACTTTATAGATAAGTATTCCGACACTCAGCGTAAATGGATTAGCTGTAGAATCTTCCAACAAATCACCACAGAGCGGCGTCAGATCCCACAGTCGCAACATTGGTTCACGATCATTATCCCCTTTGTCTGTATTAAATAAATACTTAAAGGATGAATATTCTTACACAAAAAGGAACTTCCTAAAATTATTTTCAAACTTTTTTTATTCCCTTGATTCACTCTACTTCTTATATTGATAAACAATTGATCCTCTCTTCTAAAAGCAAGCATTTTACCATGACATAACCAATATGTGTGTCCCTCTTGTGCAACTTTGTCCTGCAGGAATGCAATGATGTTTTCCGCAACATTCCTCAAAACAAGCGGATCGAATTTTGAATTTTCCAAATGTGGTATATCTTCTGTACGAATCAACTCATATTCCTAAAATGAAATCAGCGAGTGAAACATAGGAGCAAATGTGAAAACGAGAAAACCAAATGTGTATAAAATTCCTTTTTTTCGGGCAAGAAAGAAAGCTTTTAAAAGTAAATATGACGATAAAATCAAAACCAGTTCAATACAAGTATATTTAACTAGTGAAAACTTGCCTTTACATAGCCACCTAAATGCCAACAGAGTAATGCTTCAGGTGCATTACACATTGATTGATCCAGATACAAATCCACACCAGTTAAGAAGTTGATAGGACGTTGTTTGAGATCTCTAAAAATAAACAAAAACAATCCTACTCATTTACTAAATCATCTGATTTAATGAAACAACTGGACAGATATATAGCATAGCAATGCAAATGAACTAACTTGGGATGTAGAGTAACGCATGGATTGGATTTGCAACCAAATATCGGTAAATTAACATCAACGAGCATATTGAGATCATAAAAATTCCACAGTCGACCATAAGCATCCAGTTCGACCTACAAAAAAAAAAAAACAAATGAACAAAGTACAACTAGAGGGCCAAATATTTCAAGTTAATGAACATCCTATTTAAATCTTCCAAAAAATCTTACTTGAACTATTCAACAATTTGATTTTATCCGAGTACATCAAATTTTTGAATAAGTAAACATAGTAATAGAAGAGTAAGAGACAAGACAAATTTTTACTTTTCCATCATCCATTCTTATTTTTGTATATAAATAATCTTCTAATGGATCGACTAAACCACCATTTTCTTTCACTATTTTCGATGCTTCATTTTTATAATCTGAAAAAAAAAACAGAGTAGATGAAAAGAAACAAAGAAAAGTACGCCAAAAATCAGTGGAATAATTATGTGTGTCAAAAACATATACTTTTGTTGGTCTGTGTTGGAATATCCCGTTCTGCAGTAGCTGTCATATAATCTAGCGGTGCCAAACTGCAAACACAAAAAGTGAGCGTGACTAAATATAATACATCAGTAACAAATAATCTAAAAATTGAGCATCTAAATTGGTCAAATGACTATGGAAATCTTTATTACTCTAGAAAGACTTAGCATTGAAAATCATAAAATTTTAATAAGCTTGCTTACCTTCTAGTGTACAAATTCTCAGTTATCATTTTGCGATGCATATCGGCAATGATGTCACCAGTCGTACTTCCTGTTCCTGTTTTGGCACCAGCAATACCAATAAGACACTGAGATTTAGAATTGAGAAATTCCGCAACAGGAGAAATACCAACAGTTGAATTCATATAGGTATACTGAAGACAATGAAGTTAAAACCATGAAAAGTTATTTATTATAATTTACTTATTATAGTTCTTTTTTCAAGTTTTTTTCAAGACTTACATTCTTTAGATAGGCGCAATTATCCAGTAGTAGTGTTTTTCCAATTTTATGAACTATTAAATTTAGCGGCTGCTTAGAAAACGGTGTAGCAATAAGTTTTTTCAACGTTTCAGCCTCAGCAATAACATCAATACCACCAACTATAGCATCAATATAACAATCAGCAAGACGAAGACTGCAAAATATCAATATTTAAAGAGCAAAAACATTTTAGACTCACAATCTCAAAGACTGTGATTTAAATAATAGAAATTACTTATTGTAAATCGTAAACTCCTTTCGAAAAACCGTGAAGACTGTATTTTGCATAAAGCCAATTACATTAAATAGAGAACAGCACCGATGAACAGAGTTTCCTAATTCTAAATTCAGAGGACATTGAATCGACTGCTGCTTAGTTACCTCTCGAAACAATCTCTAATTCGAGTATTGAAACTCCATTGCCCAGTACCACTTCTACTCTCGCTTCTCGAAAAATCTCCTGATCCAGCAGCGCTAGTCGCTGTTCCATGATTTGTTCCTGAACTGTTTGCCCTTTCTGTCCAGAAATCATCGTACGCATCAACAGACCATGCATTTAATGGTGGTACATTCAAATTGGTGTTGAGTTCTAGCTTCACAACTGGCAACGGTGTTGGTTGTAATGTACTAGGTAAACAACTGCAGATATTAAGTATTTGGTTAATGAAGGAAAAAAATTAGACTTTCGAGAACAAAAGGGTAATAGTTACTTTCACAATAATTTCATTATCCAGATGTTTCTTTAAAATCAAAATAGAACGGCAATCCAGAATGTTAAAAATGTCCGAATTTTCAAAGAATCGATAGTTGAATTTTACGAACACCTCCAAAAAGACTTCCAAAAACACTTTACTATGCAAATACAGTCCAAAAATGTCCATAGTTTCTTTACAAAAATCATAAAATTTTTATTTCGTTTCAGATGAACTATTTCTTGGGTTGGAATGAAACAAATTCATAAAATTTTTATTTTTGTTTCAAGTGTTTCAGATTGTTATAAAAATCATAAAACTTTTCACTTAAGCAAGAGCTTGATATAAAAAATACTAAACTGTAGCCAAACATGAATTAAACTAACTAACAGAATTGGTTTCGCATCGTAGGCAATCATCGATCCATCATTAATTGTCGGACTAGATGCCGATACTGATGGCGGTGGCGTCTCTGCCATTAATCATCAAACTTTTGAAGAAACTTCAACGCAAAATAATCATTATTATTTCTTTTTCATAAGTATTTTTCTAATAAATTTCATGAATATCAGTACTAGTCGCAAAAGAAATTTCCTTCTTCATTTTGCTTGCACATTTTTTAACTCTATAAAAAAATGGCAATTCTCAATGTTTTCTAAAATATAATCCTGAATTCATCAAAACTTTTCACATTTTTTAATCCAAAGTAAACCCCTTATCGATACAATCTTAAAAAGTTATTACCGACGATTATTAATAATGGTAAAGAAGATAACGGGATTCTGATGAAATAATCAAAGAGCAGCTACAAGTGAAATCATCTCGAACAAGGAAATAACGTAAAATTCACGATCACAACTGGCATAAATGAATGAATTAATCGAATCAAATCTCAAGTCATAAAATTTTAAATACGTCGAAGTGCCCAATGTTAAGCCACAATAAAATCATATATATATATATATATCCAAAGTGTATGAGTTGTCAAGCACATTGAGACGATTATTGTCAATGAATTATCGATTTGAGATTATCGATTGTGGAATGCAATCGTGCTATATCACATAAATCTCCCGTGCATACTTCCTAACTTCAACTCCGGATCTCCGTCCTCATTTCTTAAAGTAAAGAATGTGCTTCTGTCCTATCTGTGTTAACCTCAAGACTAGACTTGTGTCCTCATTTCCCACAGTTTACAGAGTCATATTCCTTAACTCTCTCAAGGAAGCACAAATTGCTGGCAAGAATAGTTTCGCTCACACTTAAAGTTATAACATTAAATCTGAGCGTTTGCCAACGAGTAACGAATGAGATGCAAGAAGTGTTGCTACGTGAGTATTCAAATTAGATTTGAAAATCTTTGAAGGTGATTGATTTTCGACAACTGTACGTTTCATTATTAATTCATACATGTAAACTATATTACTACCATAATCTTTTTCTTCTTCCTCTCCTCTATTATCCACATATGCATACATAATACAAACCTATGCATAGATACAATAAATCTTTCATCGAGAAATCTCGATCGTGCTGTCAATAATGATTCACAAAAGTATCATCGAGTGAGCAAAAATGGTAGGAATTACCTTGGTCAATTAACTTTTCTAGTAGCCTGAAGGTAGATACTATTATAATACATTTCTAGGAGGCCTAAGAATAGATATTTCCATCAATGAATCACTGCAAATATTACATAATCTCTTAGTGTACACATCTCAAGAAAAATTTATTAATCAACTAATAATTACAGTAAGAAATCGAGTTATGCTTTACTGACAAGAAACTTTTGATTTGTCAAAATCATTTCATTCATCAAAATCTAAATTTCCCGGGAAGCATCAATCCCAGAATAGTTCCTTCCACTTTTTTTCTCTCAACACAACGCTTCACACCATGGTATTGTTTAGAACTATTTGAATACTGCTCAGTCAATTCTTAAATTCTAAAATTTTTATTTGCAAAATGTTTTTTTCTAATATATCCTCAAAAAAAAAATGAAAGTAATTTCAAAAAAATTCGATGGTAATAACAGCAACCATAGTAAGGATGAAGGCTTAATGGCTTATAACAAATATGAATGTCGGATGAGACGGGAAATTCCATGATAACCTTATAATATCCCTTCAAATTTTCACAAATACGCATATCATTTATTAAAAACAAATAAACGTTTCATAGACAGTAAGTAATGTAACATTTAATATTTCATTGGAACAGAACTGACTCATTCTCATCAACTAATTAAGGAAATTATATCATTTGTGAGTGAATGAGTCGAGAGAAAAGAAGAGAGAGAGAGAGAGAAAGAGAGAGAGAAAGAGTTCAGTGTTAAACGAGATCGAGTAAATTTGATAAGAAATAGAAGTTTGTTTCATTTCAGACATAGCTGATTTAATGCCACCACGGGAAAACGTCTACGCTAAGTCCATTTGCCAATGAAAATGAATGCAACGAAGCATAGACACTGAAATATCGTTCGAAGAAAAATAATAAAATATTTAATTTCTTCCAGTTTAAAATATTTAACTTTTAAAAAAATATTTAATCTGACCGTCATTTAGCATAACATTAACACTCAGAGAGAACGCTATTTTGTATTAAATATGAGCAAAAATCAACATTTCTCACGTCAAATTCTCTTAATTCAAACAATTTTTGCCAGTTTTCAATATTATTAGTTGATCGAAGAAGAACTGCTAACATAAAGAAATCAATTATTTATGGAAGAAATATGAAATTTCATAAATCAAACTTCTCTCGGATAAGTGTAAATTTTAAAATTATCTGCTAAAAAAAAACTTTGAGTTGAATTTTTTGAATTAAAAAAAAAAACATACGTGTAATGTTTGATAAGTGCTTTAATACCAACAAATTCTGGTGGTGTTTCATCACCACAATCTACATAAAGTAGATTTACACGAAGATTTTTATCAAATCTTTCTTTGATTAAATAGTGACTGAAATTGATAACAAATTTATAACTGATAAATTTGGAGAGAGAAAGTACTGGAAATATCAGTTTATTACTGATATTTCTCCATCTTCTTTTCTTCTATGCTTTTTCTTTTATTCTCAATTGAATCATCAATTTAGCACTTTATAAAATTACGTCCTGTTAGAACTAATCTCATTATCAATAATGAACTTAAACTTTGAATTAGATAAATTTCAAGAAATCGAATGCTAGATTAATTCTTCATTCAATACTGAAAGATAACCCCACACTGACGGATTTGCCGATACTCAAACATATCAAAATTAAAAGCCCAGAAAACTTCAGTACTCGATAATTTGATCATTGGAATTGCATTCCATTCATACCACATCTTTATTACAAATATAACAAATTCTAGTATTTGCATATTGAAATGTGAATTAAAGAGTAATGCATTTCAAACTATACCGCTAATTATGCATTAAAATTAATAATATGAAATGAAAAACTTACTGGAATTTGCCACAGCTATTTTTATAAACGATGCATAATGAAATTTCCTTGTCGTTTATTTCGTTGAGTGAATGATATACCTAATTATCGAATATTTTAATTTATATTTATTGAAAATAATACCGTTACATTGAAATGTTACACAAATTGTAATATTTTGAAACGAAATTGATATTTTATTTTATTGTTTGCTTAGCATATAATTTAAAATTTCGATACACCAAATCATTTCTTATTGTATTAGCAATTTTTTTTTCTTTTTTATTTTACAAATATTAGCATACTCTAAATGCAGTATTACGTGAAACAAATAATTCAGCAGTTTGTGAGCTAACAATTCCGATGTAATATCGTTTTATTGGAAATGCCGAATTATCCTCTCGGATGACGGATTCTTTTATTCTAAAATGGAAACAGCTTATTACAATTAAATATAAGTGTGAATAACCTAATATTGGCACAACAGTACAGGCTAGACTTTATGAACTTAGCATTGTTAAATACCGGGTCTGCTTACATTACTGTTAATTATCCTTTAATATTATGGATACTATAACTACAACAGAATGCAAATCATTATTCATACTTTACAAAAAACTAACTTTCTTGATATTCCTTCCTTAGTAGTCTTTCCTTCACAAATATATTCTTGACCCAAAAATTGTGCAAACTTGAAATTTATAAATCTGAAATTGAAAGATAATATTTTATTTTTACAATTTTCCTTTTCTCTTCTTTTTCTCTTTCTCTACTATCAACAACAACAAAAAAAATAAATAAAGAAAGAAATTTACGATTTTGCTCGTTGTAAACGAAATGCACGTGACCATTTTTTTTCAAGCGAAACACTCTGAAAATTTTTTTTTAAATTTATTCAAAAATTTGCAACCATAATTGTCTTCATTATAAAAAGGAAATATCATGCATGTTAAAATTATCCTGTGAATATGGCATGGATTTCCGGTAACCAATCAATATTTTCTTTTATCTTCATAACAACAATTTTTTTAATACCTCATATAACTGATTTTTTATAATTCACATTCTACACTTATTTACAAAAGAAAAAAAAAACATGTTTACTTCTTTTTAAAACTGTTTTTTTATGTAGAAGAATCGTAATAACCTTGCAAGAAATTTACCTCGGGGGATTTTTCGCTCCGAGTTAACGTTTCCGTTGACATTGTTTTGAGTGCAATTGAACATTTATAACCATGCATGCAACATTCCTGAAGGATTTTTGTAAAAAATTATTTAAACTTTCTTTGGTAAAAAAAATGCTACTCACAATTGGTTGGCTTGATCCATACTTCCATGGTTTACATTTTGCGTTTGAATTTTGATTTTGATTTGAAGCCATATAATATTTTAAATATAATAGCAAAATTTGCAAGCTTTAATTTCAGAGCTTATTTAAAATTTTCAGAAAGCGTGAAGAATGTATTCAATATTTTCTATTCTCTTCTAATTTATCTCTTCTAATTTATCGTCTACACACTAGTAATAATGTTAACAAAATGAGCTTAATCTTATATAGTGAAAAAATGGTGAAAAAATTGTTCGGTTTTATTTTAAGTGAAAATTATGCAAATTTGAATAGAATAACACAGTACAGTCGGATCATTTTCGAATACAATTTCAAAAGAAATTTGAATTTTTTTTCAAAGAAGAGCGAATTAAACATTAGATGCTAAATTATAAATAATAACTTTAAACAAACTTTCTCAATTTGTTTTGATTTCAAATAGAGGAGAAAATTTTTTTTTTTTTGTCTTGAAGAAATTTTACATTACATTTTATCCTACTCATCACGTATTTTTATTACTATAATTAAATTTTTCTAAGGTTATGACGCTGAAATACAATTTTGATTTACATATTCGATAATGTAGAAAATTCTGGATAATGTGAAAGCGGGATGTATCGATTAAAGAATATGGAGAAGATAAATTAATGATCTCTTCCCTTCGATTAGCAAATTGTTGCAATCATTCAGTTACATGGATATTTTAATGTTACAAAAGGTTGCAACATATTATATATCATTTCAATTTTTTGATGTGCTGATACTTTTACTCATTATCATATCTGTGATAAGGATAGGAATTGGAAATAACTATTAGAAAATTCTCGTCGTAATAGGATATTGTAAATTAATTGAGAATAATAGACTGTTGTAAAAATAAAAAAAGAAATTAATCGAGAGTTTTTGTTGATACATTATCATTAAATGCAAGTTTTTTTTTTTGAGAATATTAATTGATTTTTTCTTAAGATTGCTGTGGAAAAAAAATAAAATTGAAAGAATAATAAATCACAGCAATTGGGGATCATCATAACGTGGTACTAAAACGAAATCGAATGACATCATCTCTCCTGATATGATATCTGCTCCACCAAAAATGCAAGAGTTATTACAAGCATACGGTATTGAACAACATATGATGGCATATTTCAATCGGGAAGAACCGAACAGGTATGAAATATCATGGATAATAAATCATTGTACGGAGTAAATCTAATCTTATTTATCTTCTTCCTAAAGTTTTGTTGGTACCGCTAAAAATTTTTTATCGCTAGTGCTTAACTTTTAAATTTTTGAATTAAAAGTTGTTAAGCGTATTATTCCATTGTAAATTTGTAATTTAAATTGAACAATAAGGCTTGATGTACCAAATAAAGAGAAGCATATGTAGAATTTATTACTTAACTTATGTCATACTTAATGAATGACAAATATGTTTCAGATTATACGTGACTGCTTATGGACAATTGCATTTCATTGATTTATCCATGATTAATGTAATGAATGGTGCTATTGTACAGGTTATTTTTAAGCTTAGTTTGCTTTTTAAAATTTAGTGATCGATATTTTTGTTCCTTCAAATTTTAGCATATTATATTTATGAAATTCTGACATGAGTAACGCTTAGGTTTAGTGTGGAGTTGAAATGTTACCTGTTGTTGAAATAGAAGGCAATACAGGAAATGGAGTACAGGTTGTTGTTGTTGTGCCATATTTAAATTATCTTATATTGTATAGTTTTCAATTTTTTTTAATTTGTTTTTTTTAATCTTTTAGATCGAATGTAAAAATGAATGAAAAAGAAATATTTTCAAAATGAACTATTTATGTTATAATATTTGTAATAAATAAATAATGAAATAGAAGATTATTTCTATTGAATAATTTCGTAATTGAAACGGAAATAATGTTTTTTTTTTCATTTTAGAATTTAGCTCTAAAAGCTTGTGAACTAGTTCGAAATGATCCAACTGTTCGGAGTGATTTGGAAAATGAATTGAATAAAGTGATTCAACGAGTCTTATCAAAACTTGCTGAGGTGAAATGGAATTAACTACTTTTAAATTTCATTTGAAAGGCTGAATTATTACTTCTAACACTTTTGGCAACTATTTTTACTAATGTCTATCATTTATTTCTTAAGAAAACTTTGGCTCACGATTTTCGAAATGAATAAGCTATGGAATTTTGAAAAAATACCGAATTAGAAATTTTGCTATTTTGTTAAATTGATTAGAAATTTTTGATTTTTTTTTAGAAACGTAGCAAAAATGATGTTACCTTAGCGACTGAGTCATTAAAGTGTACGAGCACTTCTAACTGGCAAATGTTAACTGATTCTGAACGTGAAGCATTGCAGAGAGGTTTGAATAATTCTGCTTCCTCTCAGATATATTCATTGGGAAAATATTACACATTGAATTCATCAAACAGATTAGATTCCATGAATGAGTGAATAAAAAATCAGAAAAAATTATTCTCTTTAGTTAATTCAGCAGCTTAATTTTATTATCATGTCATCCTCAATATTCTATATCGTAATCAGCTGAGAGTTGTAATTCGGAATTAAAAGCTTATCAATAACTGTTAAATAATTGGAAGAAGGAGCGATTTACTATATCTGTCTAAATTTTTTTGAAAATTTAAAATTTTTTCAGAGCGGCGTAAAAAGAATGCATACAAAACATCACTTTGTAGATCATTTCGAGAAAATAACATATGTCCATATGGTGAAGAGTGCGTTTTTGCTCATGGAGAAAAAGAGCTTCGTCTTCCACCACAGGTAAAAAAAATGCTAATTTTTACCTGGTTGAGTAGCACTGATAAAATTTGAGTAGGTTATATTTTAAGGAAATACTGTAATAGGAATAAGCAAAAATTTTCTTAATTCAGTTACTGTAATTTCATATATGATTGTTTCAGCAGCTCAAATATATTTCATTGGCTATCATCAACAGATTTTTTTTTATATTTCAAACTTCTAACTTTCAATTTCTTCAAGCATTTACAGCGAAAAGTATTTTCTTTGTTTTACTTTAAGGCTCATCCAAAGTACAAGACTCAATTATGCAACAAATTCTCAATATGGAATTATTGTCCATATGGTGCCCGATGCCAATATATACATCAACGTATAAATGAAATATCAAGAATGGATGCAAATGTGACTGATTCCTTCTTACGACTTCAATTACTTTAATATTCCATTAAATGAAATAGATTAAATTAGATCCTTAATCGATTAGTGATCTGTAAATGATCAGAGTACTCATTTGATTAATTATATTTTTAAAAGTTTAACTATTTTATTTTCAGTTAAATGCTAAAGAAAATTCAGAAGACAATCTTGAGAAGAATTTTTTACCTGTAACTTTACAGCATCCTTCTAAGCGCCTCATTCTAAGACGAGCCAATAAAAGGTCAGTTTTTCTAATATATTTTAAAGATTCTTTTCAATTTCAGCTAGATTTTTCAAGAATTCAACTTATGTAAAGTAATGCTATTAAGTAAGATTTGTTTGACCTTCGCTTTCTACTATGTCTCCTCTTTTTTTTAGCACTGAATGCATCAGTTCACCGATTGCACTTGGAAATCATTCATCGTTTGTTGAGCGTGGAGGATTTACCTCCTCTCTAACAAGTACCGATTTTAACTGTGATGAAAACCGAAAACAATCTCTGGAGGTATTTTAAAGTAACATTATGCATTATTAAGCTTAGATCATATTAATGACTCAGTAATTAATTTAATCATCAGATATCTTTTGTAAACATAAATATTAATGATTATAAATCATCTACCAATATTGATCGTTTTGTAATCAAGCAAATTTTGGCATTTGAATTTTACAGTCATCCGATTTATTTGATCCAGATTATCCTAACTACGACAATAACGAATTTCATCTTAATACAGAAGCAGTTACAAATAATATTATTCTAAATCAACTTCATGAACATTTTAATAACATGTTAGTCCTTCCAGTATTCCGTGCTTTCTCAATTTGATTTTTCGAAATTACTTTCATGAGAAGTATCGTATGTAAGGAAAATGTAACTGATTTCATTCTTCTTAACAAACATCTCAAGAGTTTTATTAATTCAAAACAAAATAAAGATACGAAAATTGCAGGAAGATCGAGGATAACAACAATTTATTTTCACGATCTTGTTTCTCGCGAATTGGATCAGGTCAAGTTGAATAATTTGATCAGCTAAAGCAAATTATTAAACCAAAAAATAATATATTACAACTTTTTGCATCTTAGGAATATACGAATATTTTATTTATTATACTTTTTCACTTTATGTCATGAAAAGTTTTTGTTATATTTTTTAAGTATTGAAAATTGATTCATAGGTCATAACCAATTCTGATTAAATCATTAATAGCTTTGAATTCACAGTGCTATTTGAGATGTCATAGCTTTAATGTTAATTCGCATATTATTGTAGAGTGAGATAGTAATCTTTTGTTTTTTTCCATTATTCAAAATTTTCTTCTAATTCATAAAATTTCCAAAATTCTTCCAAATATATCACATCTAACTTTACAAATATTTGAAAATGCAACAAAAAAAATATTGTTAATTTGAAAGAATTATTGTCATTAGTACGATTACAATTATATTAATTTTTAGCGGTATGTGAGAATATATTTAATCCTTCTTGCATATTCATATTTATTGCTTATTTTAGCAATACATACGAAACGGTACGATCAATTTTTATTAGCTTATTGTGTTATCAAAACTTAGTAATATTACTGTACCACCATTTTATTTATTTCTCACCAAAAAAAAGAAAAAATTTCTCTTATATGTTACAGTATTTATAATTGATAGTTTATTATTAGTAGAATCAATTTCTTCTGTACATTACGTAAGCTAGCATTTCTTATTTTATTAATACTTTTCAAAATTTCAATTGCTAATAAAATTATATCATGATTTCTCTAGAAGCTAAATCAATTTATTTTCATTTTTTTTAAAAAAAATAAAATAGTCTTCAGTTCGTTTGTGATTGAAATATCATAGTTTTGATTTTCAATCTAGTTCCAAAAAAAAATTTTCAAAATGATTTTCCGAGGAGCTATTGTTTTATAGCCGATAGCTAATTAAGCTGCAGCACCTCATCAATTACTTTTTACGCAAAATTGAAAGATGAAGAATCTATTAATCTCACTGATTATATTAGTAATAATTTTTTTATCATTGTGATACATTATATTTATGAATTGATAACGCCGGTATTCATTCCACGTATTTGTTCACGTTTCTTTCATGTATTCAACACTTTTTATTGTTTGTCGGATGAAATTTTATTATTAACTACACAATGATGTCTTTTTTTGTATAAAATAGAAATTTTGTTTTCTGCATTGTTGTGTTCAGAGAATTATAATATCAAGAATATAATGCAAACTTTTTTTCCGGATACAAAGGTCACGTATTTTGATTAAGGATCAAAATGGATTGTTGCAGTACCACTGGGAAATATTGCAGAATTACTAAAAGTAGAAAGTACTAAAAGTTGGTTGTATTGTTTTCATTCGATGTATTAGGAATATTAGGAAGAAGATGAATCCAAGAGAAAGTGCAAATAATTCGGAAACCATTAAGTTCAAAATCATTTCTCTTTTTTATTATTCATAATAAATATTTTCATGAAAGATAATTAATTTTTTTAACACTTATTGAAATGAAATAGAATAATCAAATATTTGCTCAATTTTTAATTTGCATAAATCATAAGTTATTCCTAACTCAAATCAAAAAATTTTTAAAAAATTTCGTAAATGTATAAGATGATTAATATTTATTGTTCCATGTATTTGATTACCTGTTGACCTCAAGTAAACAAAGAAAAAAATATTCGGACGGGTTTATTGCTTTAATTTGCATTAACAATTTTGCAGTCTGTTAAAAACTTATCATATCGTATTTCTATGACCCGTTACTGATAATACCTCTATTTCTTAAGTTCCATTACTGTTTGCCAATGTTGACGTTTTATCACTGAAATCTTTATGAATATCTTTTGAAGCATTATCAAATATATCTTTAGTTTTCATTATTCGATTTCAGGGATCTCAACTGCCGAAATATTTTCCACCGTCTCCTTTGTTTCCTTCTGTAAATATACAACAATAACTTATTAGATTGAAGAAAAAAAAATTCTAATTCTGTAACATTGGAAAGATCATATATATGATGGAAACGATAAATATTATCCGGGTGAGAGAAAAAAAGCTTGAGATAGCGATTATGGGGAAACCTGTTAATGAAACAAGAACTCGAGAATAATATGGTGAAGATATGGATGATAAAACAATTATTAGATGATTACTTAAGGAATAAATTTCGGAATTTCCTATCATGCAGATAATTTGTCTATCTGAGAATAAACTTTTAAAATTTAGCCCATTAAATATTTCTTTATGAATCTTTCATTCAATCATAAAGCTCTATTTAGAAGGTAGATTATCTAATAACAAAGAATGAAAAATTAAATGAATGAAGAATCATACCAAAACATCTGTATCATATACCACATTGTAATAATCTCGTTGATTATCAAGTTTTAGATATGAATATTGGTCTGTAATATCTTCTAGTTGACTGGCCAATTTTTGTCGAATTGTTCCAAAATCAGGTCTTAACGATGGTTCATGTGCCCAACAATTACGCATCACTTCATAGCTGTAAACAAATATATCACATATTATTTTTCATCTAATCAACTATCATTTGTTAATGTTACACCTAAACTCTTTCCTCTTTCTCTTCTCTTGAAAATAAAAAAATCAACCTATTCTTCCTTAAAAATTAACTTATTTCTTAAAAATCAATTTATTCTTTCTTAAAAAAGATCAACCTATTTTTTAATGAAAAAATCAACTTTTTAAAATAGACATATTGCTATAATGAAGAGAAAGTAAAACTAAATTAACTAGTTATTGGGACAGTTATCCGGTTGATCCATTCGTCCACCAGCATCCAAATGTTCCAACATATCATCAGGTTGTATACCTGGATATGGTGTACCACCAAGTGTAATAATTTCAAACATTAATATACCAAATGACCAACTGAAATTTAGATCAAATTCCGCTTATGAAATATTTCAGCTAATTAAATGGAATTTAAGAGGAAGAAAAGAAAAGAAGGAATTTCCATCGAAAAGCAATGTAATCGCATATATTTTGTTATCACATATTTACGTATCACTTCATCATTTTATGGTAACATTACGTGTGTTACCACGTCTTAACCTTACAACCACACGATATATTTGATCCTCTTCAAATTTAAACAATTTTTAGAAAAGATTTAATACTAACACGTCTGATTGCATAGTGAATTCATAATATTTGATAGCTTCCGGACTCATCCATTTTACTGGCAATCGACCACCCCTACTTTTGTAGTTGGCCGAATCACGATAAATGTATCGACATAAGCCAAAATCACCAATTTTCGCATTAGTCTTATCATGCACCAATATATTACGTGCCGCTACATCTCGATGCACAAAGCCTTTCTGACTAAGATATTCCTAAAACAAAAAATGATTTCTTTTTCTGAACGAATCATTATCATACATATTTAAATCAAAATCAAAACTAAAAATTGAAGTTAAATTTATGCTTACTAAGCCATAACTAATTTGCACAGCAAACATCAATAATTGCTTTAGCGTTATCACCAAATCTGAATTTATCTTTTCATCCAAATTCGATCCACCATAATCGATACCCATTTCAGTGAGCTGAAAGAAAAAAATAATCACTGATATATTTAAAAATTTTAGATACAAATACTTGTTTCCATATATTATTTTAGCTGTACAGTATACTTTACAATAAATGAATTTCATTGAGAATCGATAATTTCGTATACAGTGCTTTATTTCGCTCATTTTCTCGTTACATTTCAGATGACCTCTTCTTTCTATTTGATCTTTCTCATTCCATCTTTCCTCTCTTTCCTTATCATGATAATTATCACTGGATAAAAAAACGACATTGTTCATTTTGAATTAGTTTTAAAACATAAAAGAAGATTTTTGTAACAGTTATATGTACAAAAAGATAACCTTCATCATATAAGCACATCGTTTCTTCAAGAAATGCAACAAATCACCATCCGAGCAATATTCAACAATCAAACAGTATGGTTCTGTTTCTGTAATGCATGCCAACATATTGACCAATCGTTCATGATAACCCAACGTTTTCATTAATGAAATTTCATTGAGAAATTCACTTTTTGATAGTTGATCAGCATATTCTATAATATTTTCAAACAATTACTACAAATTTTGATTTTACTATCAGTAATGTAATTATCACTGAATGAAAAATGACATTGATTCTTAAAATTTATAGTAAATTTCATTTTATATTTCAAGAAGTTACAGTGAAAATTCTTACGTGAAGATTTTTCGTATTCACATTATTGATAAGGCATTGAAAGATGAATTTTATCAGGTGAATTATTTAATTAAATTATGTATATGAATGCTTAATATATCCAAAAAACACTTCACCCTACTGATAATTATATTTGTTTAAGCTTAAAATGAGAGAATATGAAGTGTATTAGAAAAAAATTGATAAGAGAAATATTTGAAATCTCAAAAAAACTCTCAAATACTTTAAATGCGATTCAACTATGAATTAATTGCTCATTTTTTCAAGCTATTTTTCAAAGTACCTTTTAAGAGCTCTTAATTTACTTATCATTCACCATTCTTCTATCATTTTAACGTCAATGTCCGAAAAATAAACTTCTATCGTTTGACATGTTAGATAATTTTTTTTCCTCTTGAATTCTACTAAAAAAGTACATTTGTAATAATATGAGAAGAGAGATGAACAGTGATGTAGTACAGTTAAAGATGGATTGAACAGAACCAATCTTTTGCAACATTTTTCAAAAAAATGTGATTTTGACTTACGAGAAGGGTAATTTCGTTATCAGTTAGTATAAACCTATCATCGATTAGTATTTTCAATTAGCTAATGCACAAAAATAATCCATTCAGTAAGCATTTCACCCAAATCTCAGATATAATTAAATGTTTGCTCGATTCACATCGATGAAATGATTTAGGAAGATAAAGCTATAAGAAAAGGTAAATATATCATATCTTCATTTGATTTACATATTTTCATTTCTGCATATATGCGAAAAAATTTTCGAGAAATAAATTGAATGCTAAAGTTAGCAGGGATTTGAACTGAGCCTAAAATATAATACATAAAAATAAGACTTGTCTAAAGAACAAACTTCGAATTATATATTTTCAGATGAGAACAAATTAAGGGAGGAAATAGTAACATGATAATTTAGACAATATTAATATTATAATAAAGCTTCACCTTACCTAACAACTTTTTCACAGCAACGTCGCAATTTTCAGCTCTCATCAGGTTGATACCTAAGGTAGATTGAGCATTCTTGTTACCTTTCGCAATACCAATCAATCGACCTTTATAAACCGATCCAAATGCACCCGAACCAAGCTTCTGATCATCATAAATGATAAGATTTCGACGCTCTAATTCCCATATATCTTGCCTGCATATATTACATCGTTATTTGTACCTTCTATTAGCTCATCAATTATTCCACCGGAGAAAAGTAATTACTGATTTGTATATGTTGATAAAATCACTTAACAAAGTTAGAGATAAGATAGCTCAGCTCATTAGAGCCGATAAAAGTAGAAATACTTATTTTTAATAATAAACATTTAAGTAATAACGCAAATTTCGATAAATGCTATTCATTGACTGAAAATTCTTAATCATTTGTTAAAAAATAAGGGCGAAATGAGAGAAGAAACATCAAATTTACTATGCTTTGAAAAATTCTATATCCAAAAAAATTTTATTTCTGAAATATCGCAGTAAGTATTTCTGTCTCTCTATAATTTATCAAATTTCAACCTATTTCAATTCTATTTACTTAAATTACATCTCCTTACTTAAATAATACTATGAACCTTATAACTTGAAAAATTGCTGTAATTCATTTCAAAAATTCTATTATTATAACTAACTTTTTTGGCAAATTGGTATATCTTAAATCGTTGTTGTATTTCATTTGCTCGAGTTTTAGCTGATGTATTTTAATTTTAGCATTTTGTTTTCGTTGAATCCAAATAAATATGCTAACAAGAAGTAACACAACAGTTGCTGTACTGCCAGCAATAATTCCTGTCAACAAGCCTGAACGATTTTCTCTAAATGCTGAAAATACTCCGTTTAAGAGTGAAATGAGTTTAAAAAAGAAAATTTTAGTATGCAGGTAGAAAGAATTCAACTACTTGCATATTAAAATTTGATAATTAATAAGATCAATTATGAAGGCAAATAAATGATAAGAAAGGGATAGATAGATCAAAGAAATTGATGATAATATATATTTGATGATAATCAACATTGATGATAATATATGTTCACTTAACATTTCCCACTTCCAAGATAGATTAACAAAAATAATGATAACATCAATTATCAACTTAAAATACTCACATCATAATCTCTTATTTCTCAAAATAAATAAGCAATACAATAAAATATTGTAAACCTGCAGAATCAATGAATATTTTATTGGCTTTTGATTTCATCCCCAATGCGACACCGTTCACTTCCGGATGTGTCACATTATGCGGATCAATAATGGCGCATATTGTCACACCATAAAGCTTGTTCATTCGCAAATTTGTTATTATTATTGATGCATTTATAAGGTTCAATTTAACCTGATGTAATATGAGATATAGTTAAAATCGGAAAATTGACAATGATCATTTCAGTTCATTAATCAATTTAATCGACGTCAGCATGAACAAAAAAAAATTTTTTGGAAGTATGAATTTTTCCAATTAAAAATTTTTATCTTTTTTTATTCAATTAATTCATATCTAAGAAATTAAATTTAAAGTTTACCGCACATGTTCCATTCTGATTAAATTTCGGACAGTTTGTCGCATTACCCAAAATCTGTCGCATTTCAACACCCAGCAGTTCTACCTATAAATTTTATTTATTCACTTATTTGAAAGTAAATAATTAGCAAAGCATAGTTCAAAGAAACAAATTATCTTTTCTTTTTTACAAAAGATAAATGGAATAAAATGATTCCAAAAATGATATTAATTTTTAGAATATCCATTTATAACTTTGTCTGATGTGAAATCTATACAAAATTGAAATTGCACATAAACAAAAATATTGAAATAGCATGCGGAATGGATAATAAAATAATTGGATTAATAATATTGGATGTATTTGATGTTTATATTTGACGTTTACTCATATTGCTTTTTTGAACTGTTTAAGAAGAAATAATGTTCAAATATAAAAATGGTAGAAGTTATTATTAACTTTTTGAAAGTTAATAATTAATTAATTAATTAAACATACGTAAAAGAGACTAACATCAATCTCTCGATCAAATGGTTTAGCATCACCATAAAAAGCCATAAAATAAAGTGGCTTTTTTTTCATTAGCATGGAACGAAATGTCACATTGACAGTGATATTACTGTTCATATCATCTGGATTTATGTAATCATTAAGAATATGATAATTGAATCCTTCCACTTGACCACACATCGGCGGATGATACACCAACGGATTATCATTACATGGGCTATTTTGTACAGTGGCACAATCTAAAATAGAAATATGCAAATTTCAATAGGAATTTTGATATAGAAAAAGCGTGCAATCAATTAACCATAAGTGACAATTTATAAAATTTTCAATTAATAAGTTGCATGATCAGCATGTGTAAAATAATATGTTTAAGTTTATGAAAGAGTTCGAGCACACTATGCAGTTACAAAATTTCTCTCAATTTTAAAACGTACAAAAATTTTTTTTTTTGAATCATTATTGGAAATTTTCATGCTCTACTACATGAAAAAATTTGTATACTACATATATATAAATTAAATTTTTTATTTTAACTTTAATTTCAAATTAACCTACTGCAAACTCTATCCCTTCATGGCTATCGTTCGGTATATACAAAGACTAACTTATTTTTAATGGTTTCATCGAATTTTGATTGAAATCATTGTTTGTTTTCGTTGTACCACAACGATGACTCTGAACTCCACTAACATAATACAAAAATTGACATTTACGATACATCAAATCCGCGCCAAATTTAGCAACTAAAGTTCTCGATTCCTCACCTGTCTCCTAAAAATAAAATTCCGTTTTTATGTAAATTTATAGATATTTTATTTTTAATTATAGTATTTAATCACGTTTGGATTAATAATGATATATCCTTTTGATTGTAAATATATTCATGATTTTTGTCAAAGTTGAAAGAAAAAACTTTCCTGAAATTATACATGCTTAAAAATGGTTCAATAGAATTATTTTGAAAAAAAAGAACAAAACATGAAAAATAAAACTAACAAATTCCGGCGCTGGTACTGCTTTCGACAAATCAGGAATGTTACAGCTTACCATATGAAAGAGTAAATCCACCTTTATGTCTTTTTCACCCAATGGCCAAGCTAAAATTCGGAAAATTCTAAATCATTACTGCTATCGAAATTTAAAATCTAGCTAATAATGATGATCCTTTTCCTTGATCAATTCTTCAAACTTGAATTCTACTGAAAGTAATTTCGGATAAAAAGATCAAAATAATTAATTGAACTATTTTCCACTTATATTGTATTCATTAATTTTATGTAAAAGTGTTTCAAAAAAAAAACAAGTAGTAAAAAGATATAACATACTGATAACTACAAAATGAAAAGTACTTACTGTATTTCGGTGATGGATATTGTAAAATTAATTTGACTGTTCCATTAGAATAGTAACCATTTTCACTAAATGACTGATTCTGCAAAAATTAATTTCCATCGATTGTAATATAATCAATGATAGCCTGATAATAGATTAAGGACAGATTTCAAGATAAAAACTTTTTATAGTTCATTCTTAGCTTACAGTTACTAAATCATCTGGAAAAAATAAAAAAACTGATCAAATGACCTCGAAGAATTTCAAGCAGTGAACGACTGATTTTACTTCATATATCATTATAAATTTCCATTCAGCAAAATTACAAAAACATCAATTTTGATCATAATTACAGTCATGATTTTTGTAAATTTACAGATATATCTTATGTTTGCAAGATTTTGGTTAACTGATAATCAGTACAGAATCTGCTAACTTCATTTTTAAGTAGAAATTTAAAAGATGAATTTAACAGATTATCAACATTAGCAAATTGATCGCTATAGCTAATAAAGAAATTTCACTTACAATATATTCCATAGATTGAACGGTAAGATTTTTTACAATATCGGGTGATGTCGGAGGAATTTCTTGAATGTTACTGAAATTGCTTACTCCTTCAGTTGTTACCGATGCAAGTCGAAATAGCAACGGATTGCAAAAATTTGCTTCCGTTCTTGTATAATTTAACAGCGACTTTGTGATTGTAAGCTAGAAAATAAATGTGATAAATCACATTTCAATCAATGAAAAAATAAAAAAGAAAACCATTCTTTTCCGTTTCAATTCTGGCTTTTAAACGCTAATCCTCTCGTTTGATGCTTTGTTTGGTTAATAAAATGTGCCATTTTGAAGCTCCATTTTGTGTACTTTAATTTTCCAACATTAAAAATTCAGAAAATTTTGAGTGCATGAAGAATTTGGCATAAAAAAGAACAGTACAATATATATCACTAAATTACAAATTAAAAGGATAAGATATCAAATTTCGCATGAAAATATAAAAAATAAATAAGATCGAATTTTGCTCTCTCCCAAATTTTTAATCAATTAAAGAATGATAAATGAAAAAATCTTTCAATAGCTGTACTCTTACGCAAAATAAGAATAGAGCTATCAAAAGGTTTCATTGATCATTTTTTAACTGATTAAATTTTGGAGGAGAGTTCAAATTCTTACGATTTCATAAAAAATGAAACTGTAATTTACAAAAAAAAAGAGTAAACTTGCAAAATGATGGCTATACTCATTGTCGCGAGATTTTCTCGCCATTTCCAACAAATACAATGTTCCATTACCATTCCATGTAATATTGATGGAATAGTATGGTGTGTAGGCCCATTCAATATGTTTAGGTATCTCCGGTTTTGATTCTTCATTTAAATTACTACCACATGTCTTCCAACAAAATTCCTTATCTCCAGTTTTATCATTCTAAAAAAAAAAAAAAAATTTACTATCACAGAAATATTCAATAAATTCGAGCAATCTTTCCGATAAAACTTTCCTCCATTCGTTATTGAAAAATTGAAATACTATCATTTCCTAATATTTTATTTAGTCTTTTAAAAAAAATTGTGCATTTACTACAGCTTACTTGATTTAATGCTACTGCTACTTTTTTCTTTTTTCATTTTAGAGAACAATTCGAAATCGTTTATTGAATCAAAATAATGGCCTTAATTATTTTCCCCAATTTTCCATCCTATCCAAGATAAAGGCATGAAATCGAGCGCATTTCAATGACTATAAAACAAAAATTAAAATCAAAATCAAAATACGGGAGATGACAGAAAATAAATTATTCAATCAAAAATAGGTCAGTACTGTATTCTTTGAATATTCTCTTGAAAGATAGAAGAAAAATTAGTTTTCAACAATATTACTTAATTCTTAAAAATAAACTTACACAAAGATTATTTGGCATATTTTTCTTGCATTGTTTTTCACAGTGATTTGAAGATTGCTGAAAATTAATTGCAATAATTGTTCCTTCCCTCAACATATCCTTTCCTTTTACTCTTTCTTAATTTATTTTAATTTAGATTTTTTCTTTACAGATGGAATAATAAAAAACCTGTAATTTTGCAAAATTGTTTCTCGTTTGATGTGTTTGAAAATTATAAATTAAGAATTTAGATATTATTACTCGTTGAAAATAGTTGAATTTGCAAAAACTATGTTCAAAAAAAGGAAATATTGTTGGAAAAAACTTTAAAACATGATGTGTCACAAGCCGACTTAATATAGAGAGCACATAAAATTCAAAAATTGTTTCTTCGAAATTAAATCTTTCATGGTTTAATAGCTGAGCTGAGTTGAAAGTGGAATCAATGATAATATAGTTCAAGCTGCTACAATTAAACTTTATTTTAAATATTAGTAATTTTGGTATATATCTGAAATTAATAGAAATGATGAAACGTATGCTATCTGTACAGGTAACTAATTCGGATTAAATTGTCATTATGAATCAATGAAAAAAATAATATTGTAGCTATCATAATATCATACCTCATCATCGATGACACATTTGGCGATACATCTTAGCTGACAAATGCGCATTCGTGATAAATCCAAATTTCCGCCATTTATTTGCGAAGTGACAAATAAGAGCAATATCCATAACTGATACATTAGTTGCAGAGATTAGAATTGTAGAAATCCTCCATTTGATATCGTTAAAATTGGCTTATCTTCATTTGAAATATTTATTTTAGCATAAACAAAAATGAAACACGTCGTAAATTTCATCGCTATAATATCACATAATTCATTTTGAAAAAAAAAAAAATTTTTCCCGAAAGAAATAATCATATGTAAATTATATAACTCTAAAAGAAATCAAACATTAGCTAAAAATTAAAAAATGATAAATATACAAAATAAGAATTCAGTTGGTATCGTTAATGATTAGTCTCGGAATAGCAAAATAAAAATGGAATAATAAATTTCTACAAGTACAAAAAAGATTTTATATATAATTCGAACAATATGAATTGACAAATTAAAAAAAAAAGACTAATCATTAGCGATATTAATTGAGGTTTTATGAAAAATGATGCATTTTCAGCATGCTAAGATTCAGTTCATAATTCCGTATGCAAAAAATATAAATCAAATAACATTATATTGAAGTATTACGCAGAGGAATAATCACTCCTATCATCATGCATGATCTCTTGAATTAACAGTCTTCTAAAAATGCTTCCGACTGTTATTTAATTTCATAGTATATGATAATTCGCATAGCTCTCATTGGATTAAATATAATTTTGCAATTTAACTTTGACATTGATAATTTCTGCATAACTATAAAGTGCGTATATATTGTCATGGTTTCCTCTTTCTCAAAAGAATACCCCTTAAACAACGATAACATTTTATAATATAAATTAAATTAACATAAAGATAACATGAATTAATATAATATAAANTAAAATAAATTAAAATAATATGAAATAATGTAGTGTAAATATAAACTAACCAAAGATATTCACAAATTTCTAAAGTTATATCATTGACCAAACTCCACATATAATTTTTTTTTTCTACTAAAATGATACAAATTTTCGCATACTGCAAGTTAATACTGATAAAAAGTAGAAATAAGAAGTGCACACAAATAGATTTAAATTGATAAAAACATGCATTAAAATTTTACCATTTAAATTTTGAAATACAATCTTCCTTTTAGAAACATCAAACATTTAAAAAAATTCAAAATAAAAAAAATCTGCTACTTAAAATGATAGAATAATTGCGCAAAACATAATATAAAATTAGACATAAAGAGAAGGCGAAGAATAATAGTAATGAGATTGTGCCAATACAACAATTTTTAGTGTCGTGACAGTTCTACGACAGTTCATACTAACAGTATTGATGAACGCGTGCGCATACATTACTTTTACCTGATACTTCACCCCGAACTGCAATACCCACCGATACTCACCGATACATTCCATTCCACCGCATCGTCGCAACAACTTCCATTTCTCTCACAAACTAGAAGATTTCATCGGGCATCTTGGCAACACGATTGATGGATGAGACGAAACCGGTTTTCGGATATCATTTGAATACATACAAATATAGGACAAATAAACACACACACACACATACACACACATACACACATACACATACATACACACATACACACACAAATGTGTATACAGTGTTGAAGTACCCACACTTTGTAGAATGACATGTACCGACTATTCATCATTCAATCGTCGCGATAAATGACCGAAATGGTTTGAGTTATGAATTTTAGAAATTTTAATACATTTCAATCAATTTAAATTAGTATTTATTGAAGGTATGCTAAAAATCGACCGAAATAGTTTAAGTTATGAATTTCAAAAATTGAGAAGATAAGTTTTGCTTAGTAAACTAGTCGCACTATGTGTTTAAAAGTTGATGAATAATTTGGTAATTGTTTAAGTTACTTTTTAAAAATTGTAAATTATTTAAATCAATAAAATAGTGAAAGAATGAAAAGAGTAAGAATTTGTTAATCCATTAATTGTTAGCTGCTTTATGAAATTCAAAAGGTAAATTAATTTGATGATGAAAAAAATTACAAATGAGTTGATGATTGATGTATTAAGTGATTAAAGAAATTGGTTAAATAAATAAGTTTTGAATTAAAAATTTTCTCTTGAACATTAAGTTGAAGTAGGAAATATATGAAAATCAGAACGGAGTGTTATAAAAATATGTTCTAAGATGATGTATTGCTTATTAGAATGAAATTCATTTTCCATAAACTTGTTAAAAGCGATGACAAATCATAAGCAAACATTAAAAATCAATTAGTACATTTCAACGTTCAATAACAATTTCAGTTTCATTTCTTTTCACATATTATGTCTTTCAATCGAGTCAACATACTTTCATACTGTTTTATCATTCGCTAATTAAATTCTAGAAATTATTGATAAGTCGTTTAAATATCTCTGGCTAATGTAAAAGTTTAATTTTGAAGACTAAAAAATTTTTTCCAATTTTAATCCGTTACTTGCAAATTGTATTTCTGCAAATAACAAATACAAATCAGACCCGATTTGTGGGGATGATTAATAAAAATAAATTGGGATTCTTCTATTTCTTATTTACCAAATTAGATATTGAAATACTCTAAAATTTAGAATTGCTTTGGTTATTCGTAGATTGCCAACGGATGAGATGACGAAAAGATGAAAGGAATCGAAAAACAAATTGAAACTTTGAATTAAATCTTTGAATCTTGAATCTTTGATTGAATCTTGGAGAAAATTCAGTTAAAGAGAAAATAATTAGAATGACTGTGTGAAAAAGAAAGTGTTAGCAATGAAAAGCAATTTCATTTCAACCTATTTGAAGGATTGATATGTAAAGAAATATGAAATATTCCATTTAAAAGTTTTTCAATTTGCAAAAAATAATTTATTCTAACAATTCGATATTCGGTGAGCGGTATGCGCTTCATTATTCCCTCTCTCAGCTCTTGTTAATCGGAAATTTACAAATCCTGGAGGCTATTTCAAACATTTTCCTGTATTTAAGGCTATTTATTTCCTTTTAGACCTATTTTGAAGGCCTATCATTTTTTAAATCTTATACATTCTACAGCTAACAATAATTCAATCCTGTAGCGCCTGTTAAATCAAAAGATTGCTTTAAAAAATTTCATTTTCAAATTTCAGCAAATCTAATCTTATGACATCCGTAAGTTGTGTTGTCAGAGTACTTACTGTATTATTCTGACTCATTAATTTTTAAATTAAATTTCAAAATAATCTTTTGATGGAGCATTATACTTTTGCATTCTAGAAATATTGAAATTTCTCTTTCTAAATTTCAGCGAATAACTTAACATCTAAAACTTGTCACAATACAGTACTATATTGCAAGATCATAAAATTATCGGTAGGAAACAAACAACATGGATGGTGACAAACAGATAATAGCTAATATTGCTATCAAAGAAAATTATCAGCAACTGAAGCGTGATCGAAAACGCAAACAGATTAACAATATTAGTAAATCATCGGTTAGTGTATTAAAATAATGAAATAAAATAAAAATACAAATCTGTTGTCTGTAAAAGATTTATCCATGCAGAAAATAGCCCCAACACCACAAAATTTTTATAAAAAGTTCTAAAATTTAATCATCAACTGGTTATTTTAAAGATTTTTTCTTTAAACATGAGACAATTTATTAATCGCATTTTTTTTAAAAGGTTTTCAAAAATGATTAAATATTGAAAATTCAAATTATTGACTTTCTTTAATGTCAATTTTCAGACGGATTCATTTATCTAAAAAATACTTTGTGGAAATAATTTTAAATTTTTAGAAAAAAAAAATTTGTTTTTATTTGAGAAACGCAATCGAAATTCAAGCATTCACGTGCTATTCTCATATAATGCAGAAGGTGTAATTAAAATGGAATGCGATTCATTATCATCCACTTTACAACAACTACCGATGGTTATATTATCACAAATTTTATCTAACCTAAATATCACCGATCAAAAGCATTTCGCTGATACATGCAGAGCTACTAGAATGGTAACAGATTAATCAGTATCAGATAATTTTTGTTCAAATGCTATTTATAAAATTAACAAAAATTAATACATTCTTTTTCACCTCGACTATAAAAAAAAGGAACGAGAATGCATAGAGCTAATGATATACGGCTTATCATATTATTATAGGCTCTAAAAATATACTGGGATAAATACACCGATCTTCATATCGACACTTTAATGAAGCAAACTTTTCCATTTATCACTAAAAATAATCGATATTCGTTGCATGCAATACGTCGAGAAATTGCCCTAATATTACATCTAATACCGAATTTTACATTACGTAAACTTTATCTTCAACCGTTTTACTCACTGCATATACAGGATTTACGAGAAATTGAAATGCGCACGAAAAAGTTTGTTCCTTTCCAATTTTATCAATATTATTTCAGTTTAAAATTTATAGAAAAGAAGAGCAAAAAAAAAAAAATAAAAAACTAAAAAACCAAAGTTTTTATCAATAAACGAATATAATCTAAAATCGAAAAAAATTAATAGAAATAATTTACGCGTATCATTTATTCGTATTGGAAATATGGAATAAACAAGTATCATTATCATCAAATATTTCTTTTTAATCCATTTAATAATCAAACTCTTTGTCAAAATTGAGTGTTCAAAAAATGGATTGCTACATTTTTTTTTACTATTAATTAGCCGCTTTCAGTTCAAATAAAATTTTTAGTTTTTTTTTTTCTTTAATTAACGAATGAAATATATCTCAACATTTCTCATACTAATTACGATTAAAAAAAAATTTGAGATCAGCAAGACAACTTTTTGGTGCATTAGAACATTTGGATTTACGTGGTTGTGCAGTGGAATACGCTGAATTGCGATATTTCTCGAATGCATGCACCCGACTTTCATCAATTGCACTCACGCATGCTGCTGTATTCCTACCAAATGAAATATTTGTAAACGATAATTTGCTGAAGTAATGAAGCTATGACGAAAATTTTTACTAAAATTTAAATATGCATTCATTGTTTTTGCTAACCTTTATCAATTATTAGCCCTTTAAATTAAACGATTTAATTTCAGAAAACATCATTTGAAAGATCCGTTCGGAATAATTCGTAATTTTCTTCGTATATCACTTCCAAATTTCACGGAGATGGAAAAACGAGGAATGCTACCGGTGGAACATATTGAATTGCTTTTTAAGCTACTCATCTTATTTCCATATCTTCATACTTTTCAGATCGATTGAAAAAGGATACAGTTGTAAATGATAAATAAAGAAATTGCACGATCAATGAGCGATCTTTTTTTAAATTAATTGTATTATTCTATAATTAATAAAAATTTACATGGTACTGTAACAAAAGATGCATAGAAATGAAGTAAAACTTAAATATCATCTCATATTTGCCACCTTCGACTAACAATTTTAAATAAAATTTATGTAATATTGAAAAACCAATCAACTAGCAACTGTATGTTAAAAATGATATTAATCATTTTAAATTCAATGTTGCAAATATGACGACAATCTAATCATTCCTGTTAATTGTGACCAATCAATCATCATCATACTGTTAACGATAGTTTCATTGACCATTGTATTATGTATAATTTTTGATTTTTAACTTGTTCGATCGAATCGTCAGTAATTCGTTAAAAAACAACTCACAAATAATGAAAACATTCATGTGTTTTATTTCAAAATAAATTTTTGCTCTCCTATATCTTGTTAATTTAATTAATTTCAATTAATTTAAATAAGTTATCATTGCTTCTAAATACTTACTAATTTATTAAATGAAAATTTCATCGAAAAACCTTTCAACATTTGAATTATTCAAATTGCTTTGATAAAGCAAAAAGTTAGCACAATTATTTTAAATCAAAGCACAGTTTTAATCATGACGTTTTTGAAAAAAAAAGTGAAATTAAATCTATATTCTAACTTGCTAACTTGAATTATGTTGAATAATAATAATATTATTTTAATGGAATATCCAATTTCACATAGCACAGTTAAGATTTTGAAGTTGAAGAAGGTATTAAAATTGTTATCAAAACCATTGATGTAAATTTAAACCATTCCGAACATACCTTTATCTACTTATCAACTTTATCATTACAATGCTTAAACTGAGATCACTTGTTATATGCAAAAAATGTCATTCCAGTTTTTAACTACTATTTTTATTCCATCATTCGTTTTTGACACAGCAAAAAAAAATAATAAGTAAGACGAAGTTTTTTTTTTTTACAATAACTCCTTTAAAATAAATTGTTGCTAAAAAAGATATCATTTAAGAAAATTATCACTGCTATGATAAGAGTTGTGATAATAAGTCAGGATAAAATGAAAAAGAAACAAACTTACATATTAGAAATCAGTATGCTCCTTATGATATTAACAAACATTATCAAACAATTTTACCATCATAGAAGAAAAGTCCTTTCAGTTCAATGATGATTCATTACTGTTTAAAACATGATTGAATATGAAAGGCGGAAAATAACTGAAATTATAAATTTCGTTTCATTTGCAAATCTTTTTCTTTAATCAATAATTTGAAAATTCTAATGTTTCAATGTATCAATAATTCGGAATTTCATTGAAATTTCAACCAATAATTCGAAATCAGAAAAGTACAGTAAGCGTTTTAAGCAGAAAATTAGGTATAATTGTTGTGAGTTACTCATAAATTTGATATTTCATTTAATTTACTAAAATTTTAACATCATAATTCACCCATACTATAATTTTGAAGAGTTGAATTAAACAAACAAAGTTTTTTGTCATCTTTTTTAAAACATAAAATGCCTGTAAAAATTATTTTCACATTTCTTAATGTTTCACATTTCTTAATCTTAATGTTAAAAATGACTAAAGAAAAATGTAACCAACAAATTTTACTTCTAAATTTGTAGTGAAATTTAACTTGCAAACCCATGAAATACTGAGAAAAATTGTTAAAGAAATGTAAATTCGCATAAAAATTTCAGGATGACTTTTTTCTTTCAAAAAAATAACAAATGTAATTTACATTTTATTACTATTACTGATTTAATGGCGACTGGTAACTTTTAACGCAACATTTTTAAATGGGAATGAAAAAAAAAAAAGATTTCCGAAGAATTTCTATTTTCTGCTTCAAATAGACAGCTATAATATAACTAAAAAGAAAGATGCTTTTTCCTTCATGCAATATTTCCAAAGGAAATTTTTATTTTACTGCTTGAAATGACTAACATATCAATTACAGTTTCAGCAATTACTAACTTCAAATCATTAATTATTATCATGTCATTACTACCATTTACAATATCATTATCACTGACTGATAATACAGCAATTGATGTGAGTAGTCCGAATCCATGTAAACGTTACCTTATCTGAAAGAAAGTTATCATGTTTGATGTTAAAGTTTAGATTTGCATTTTTTTACATTTTTTATTGTTGTCAAAGTTTGAACTGGTAATTTTTGCTATCAGAGATTTTTGAATCATTTCTTTCATTGCAATAAACTGAAAATTCTATTTTACACAGCATAATAATCAAATATTTGTTGAATTTTAACTTTTTTGTAATGATAAAGTGAATGCATAAAAGTTATTAAATGATTATTTTTTTCTTAACAAACAAATCATTGATAAATCAGATAAAGAATGAAAAAGATACTACATCAATGAAAACGTTGATAAATGAATCAATTTATGATCAATCAAGAAAACCATCTGATTCTCATAATTTTCTCTATGAGACTATGAAAGATTATTTCTTGCAATTTAAACGAACAATCCATGTGAAATTGAAAAATGCTCAACCTAATACAACTGATGATACTATTGAATTTCAATCCTGGACATTGTAAGTTCATGCATTTTACAGACATGATCAGATTATGCATTCCATTACTCATTGCTACTTTTAATTAAACTATCATTTTAGTGTAATAATCTTACAACTGCAATAAAAGTAATAATCTTGTACAACTCTACAACCGCAATAAAATATTCAATCTTGTTTTTTTTAAATATTATTTCAGGTCAATAATAGCTCTAGTTGCAATGTCATCCATATTCATTTGCTGCTTCATACCACTCCTCTTTTGTTTAGCATGCAAATTATTTGGATGTTGTGCATGCACTGGATGTAAAGCATGCTTGTAAACAAGCTAATAAATTATTGTGAGTGAAGGATTTCCATATCGCATTACATCTTTATTCTATCGATATAAAATTGGAGAGTAACAGCTTCAGATGGATGATAAGTGATATGATAGCGTGTATGATATAAAAACAAAATCTCCCGCATCCATGATTATATATTCTTTTTGGCGTATTAATTTGTCATACTTTTTGACAGATCTCTGCTCCGCAATAGACCTGACGAATAAACGAGTAAAATGGAAATAAGCAGCGATCTTTACAAGCCATAAAAGAAACTTATTGCTATTTTTGCTATGTGCAAAGATTTTCGGAAAAATCCATATAATAAATTTCCATCCATAAATTTACTCTCGAGTATGTTTCCAGCAACAATAAAAAGAAGTTAATGAACAAAGGATGAGTATGCAAACAGGCAGTTTTCATCATAAACTTAGCAACGAAAAATGAAAAAATAAAGCGGGATTATGTAATATTGCAGTATATTTTACCCTTATGTCTTTGAAAAAAAAAAATCGATTGTTACCATTTATTGTTATTGCTTCATTTTCTTTCATTTTTGAGACAATGGCTAATAAATTATATATGCAAAGTTTGCATCTATCACTGCTAAAATTAACCAAGAAATCTTTATTAATTATTAACAAAAAATTTAATGCATATGAATTTCGCATCATTTACAAAAAACAGTATTTAAGAAAAAATTATGTAACTGGGAAAGAGTTAGAATATATGAATACAATTTAGCATTTTCAAACAATATTTAAAATTTAAGAAAGCGATGGTATACAAAACAGTCATATCCAAGACTGGTAAAATGAAGCTGTTTTCGTCTCTTTAAAGGAAATTTACAAAGTAGAAATCCCGCTTAATAATACCACAGTGATGATAGAAAATAGAAGTTAAAAGTAAAAATAAAAGTTTTTAAATTGATATCTGTAAATCTTTAAAGCACAAGTACTGTTTTACTCTTTTTTCTTTGCCATATACTGCTTCATCAAAGCATCCACTTTTGTTATCAGTGGATCCAAAAATCGATCGTACAGAACTAACGCACCATATGTCTGTGGTAGATACAGGTAGAGCATGAATAATGCCTAAAAAAAGCTCTATTTTATACACTGCTAACCCATGAGACAGTCATAATATAATAACAAAAATTGCAATACTATACTCTTAAGCAACTGAATTCTCGATCTAATAAAATCTAATCGAATGACCCTTATAACTTTAGTTTTTCAATTTAGCTAAAACAAATTCATTCTTAGCAGCTAAAATATGGGGTATCAATGGCATATTGAATGTTTTCAGGATATTTGAAATACCCATCCTTTTCAATTAATGTAGCAGAAAATGTTCGATGTATTTAAAATGAAATACATCGTTAACCTTAAGGATCCAGTAAACAGGAAAATAGCACAATATTAATTCGGCAAAGAAATCAGTCAATGAAAAAGCTGCGAATACTGTCCAATAGATAAGCCAGTGAGTATCATCATCTTTTTGAGAAGTTCGAACGGCCTAGAAAATAATCCCGTCATGCATGTTTTTCTTATGTTTTATTTCAAGTTCTCAAAATATCGTTCTCCTCATTAAAAAATGTCTAAGCTAATAAAATCCTTAATCTGTCATGTTTCCAATATAATACGCACTAGCAACATAGAGTTCATGATATTTATCATTGAGACAATCTTAATTCTATGGTTATGTTTCTCAAAGGAAAAAATCTGGGAAACAGTAAATTTAATGTGGTGCAACCTAATTAGTTTTGAGGCTAGCTTGATAGAAGCAATTACCTTGACAGAAGCGTATGCCGGATATGCGAAACCGATAAGATTACATACCAATCTAGCAAATGCTCCAAACACCATGTACAATGCAGCAAGGCCAATGACAGCATAAGCTATCTAAAATTTTCAATAGTAATATTTATATTAGCTACTGATAGTTGTTATGAAGTATAAATTTATGTTTGTAGAATCATAACAGAGGCTTATTTTCCCTAGAAATATAAAATATCTATTTCCTTAAAAAACAATATATATTAATCAATTAGAATATGTTAATGTTCTAATTAATATGTGACGCTGACAACAAAGTTTAAGCGTTAATAAAATCCTCCTCTGTCATAGCAGGTGCTCATAATATAAAGAATCCATCCAATGATGACAAGGTAATATCGTAAAAAATGATAGTGCAAAACAAATACAGAAGAAGACATCAGAATATGCAAAAAATTCAAAAACCTGCGTTTTTGAATTTTCTGCATGTCCTGATGCCAAATTTCCAGTCAGCATTCTGAAGAATAGATTTTACGGGGTTGGATTCACGGAAAGGATGGTTGACCATAATTAATCTAGTCGGATCATGGAAACCGATAAAAACGTATAGTCATCTGGAAAAAGTGGTCAAGATGAGACGCTTCTATTTACAATCATCATTAAAAACTACTAAACTCTGAAGAGATGATCAGGAAATACTGCGATATTAATGCGTTTGCGATACAATATTCGAATATTTTGTAGACAGGTGACCAGTGTGAATTTGCAACTTATGGAAATATAGAACGAACAAGGAAAAATTCACGCAATATTGTGTGGAAAGAAAATGAATACTTATGGGTCAATTCACAAATAAAAGTAGTACTCCAAGAAGAAGAAATAGTAACAATTTAATTGTTAAATGATTGTCAGTTCGCATGTTTTTGGTAGTTGTTAACTAATTTTCAATCTTAACTTGAGATTTTGAAGTGAGTGAATTTACCTATGACTTCTAATCCTTTTATTATCTTGCTTCAAAACAAACAGACGATGTTACAGTAAGTAAGTCCACAATAAATCTGTTTCCCACTGATTTTTTTATGATACTGGAAATCTAATTATTATTTACTGTTCACACAACATTTCCATGAGGAAAGATCAGAATCTAGTCCATAGATGTGAGAAAAAGTAGAGATATGGCTAAGCCACGTCTGCTCGTTTTAGCTAATAAATTGTACTTGAAAACATTTATCAAAATTACCTTTTCTCGTTTCAGACTTGTTTTTTCTTCTAACTTTTGAAATGCCTGGTCGACTGTTTTATTATCTTTCGGATAAAGCAAACTTTGAAAAATCATTTTTACATCATTTAGAGAGTTGATTGTTATGCCTTTACCCATAACACGTTTCTGCTGTGACCATTGATCACCGCCCGCTACTTCCAATATTTTTGTGCCTTCCTTATCCATCACTGTAACAAAAGTTTATCCATCACTGTAACAAAAGTTTTACGAAAGATTTATGATTTTGATACCGTTCAGGACAAAAAAAAACCAATATTCTAAGCATTTTCTGCAGCAAAATATCCCACAGAAGTGTATTTGGAATGCATACAATCGACACGGTAATTTGCAATGCTTCCGCGAAAAAATACTTGCATATACAAGTAAAAATTCTATACAACATAAAAGTGTATATAAAAGCAAATTTCTCCAATTAAAATGATAGATTGAAACCGATAATGGAAAAAAAAAATAAAGATTGGCCGTAAAATACATTTGAAAAAGCAATCGGATGATCCAGTTTTGAAATTACTGCTGTTTAGTGAGACAGCCTACCATAAATGCTAAAATATAACACAACAAACATAACTAAAAGTGATAAACAATTGCAATATGGTCTATTATCAAGTAAGCAAATTATTCTCATCCCAGACTCATAAGTCGGGAAATTACCGAATCTGAATAGTTCTTTCAAACTTTTCAGTAAGTTTAAGAAGGGAAACACTCTCATACTTATAAAAATCATTTTCGCACGTTTAAATCTCACTAAACAACAGTTTGTCATATAATTATGTAACGCTTTAATTCTCAATCCTTATTCACATTATTGCAAATAAAAATTTTTCCAATCTCCTATTATTTGATGTGTCGTATATTATTCTTGAGGAAGAAAGTGTCATTTGTGGAGACTGTTACCTTAGTCGAGGAAATGCAGTAATTGATAACAAGAAATTCATGATGTTTTTATAATAAATTACCGGTTACGAAACAATCAGTGCTATCTATGCTTACAAAAATGAGATGAAATGACGGGCAGTTAAAAGCAACAATCAATGGCAATGACAAGACATGGATATAGTGGACCAGCGCACTTACGTATTTGTGCGCATACACACATACACACATACACACACACACACACATACACACA